GCTCTGGGTGTCCCCGGGGTTTTGGGCACAAGTGCATCCCCTCGGCAGGGGACAGCCCTGCCCGGTTCAGTGGTTCCCGCGGGAGGCACAAAGCCCGTCCAGCCGCAGCTGGGAGGAATAAAGGCAGGATTAGCCGTGGGCATTGGACACCTAGAGCCTCTCGCTGAGCCAAGTGAGAAGGGTAACTTGAGGCGTTTGTGCTCTGAAAAGCCCGGAGGTTTGGCAAAGGCAGCCACTCACTCAGCTGTGCAGCCTCCTGTAAACTGAAATGCCCTCTTAATGCTGCTGAAAAGAGAAAATAATGATTGCGCTGGAGAACAAATAAAAACCGAGGCTAAACATGAGCTCATTGTGCTGACATTGGCAATTATCACCCCAAACACCTCCGCAGACGTTCAGCATCGGGAAAAGGTGATCTCTGAGAGCAGAAGCCTTTCKCTTCTTTGGCTTTCTCAGGTGTGGGGTGGAGTCATTTCTTTAGTTAAATCACAAACAAACAGAAAAGCAACAACAACAAAAAAAAAAGTATCAGAAATTTGTGTTCCTTTGGTGAGGGACAGGCAATTCACACGTAAAACTTACTCAGAGAAATCACATGCCATTTAATTCAAGTACATCCAGACATTTTTTAGCATTTTCCTATAAGTTTGGGTTATGAGGGCTGTTATGGGCAGCATTAGAATCACCTAGTCTGACCTCTTGCATAAACAGTTTACAACATTTTTCCCAGAAGTTGGGTAAATTTTATCACAGAGACGTATTCCAAACAAAGATACTCAATGAGCTCACCCAAGCAAGCCCTTTCAGTGTAGAATCCTCTTATTATTAAAAAATCACACCTTCACTGGAATTAGGGAATTCCTGCTTGTAGCTGGGCTATGTWTGTTTATAAACTCCTTTCCAGACCTCCTGATTCATAAGTAACTCAATAATCAGACTACCTCTCTACTATTTTTAATAAACTAAAAAAAAAAAAAGGCAGTTTCTTCAATGTAATATTAAAGATTTAAAGTTTGTTTCTCCATTTCCTTTGAAGTCTCCCAAGATATTTCAGATCTCACTACAAAATTCTCCAGCTGAGCCTGGAACAGGAGCCCCASTGCAGGACTGAAGCTGCTGCTTTACCTTTGCATCACTCACAYCAGGTTTGTTCCTCGAATCACCACACAGGCTCCAGCACTATGAGTCTTCTAAACCATAAAGAAAAAGGCACTCAAAGCAAAGTTATGAAGAGAAATGGACATTTTCTGGCTCGGGAAGAAGGGGAGAAAAATAGTGTGTGAGAAGGGAGCAGGTGAATTTATTTTATAACACTTGTGAGTTATAAACTGGTGTATTTCGTATTCATCCCTCTGGTGCTGAGCCATTTGTGAGGTTTCCTAAATATGACTTAAGAACAAGGAGCAACAAATTTTGCTCTCAATCAGATGCATCTGGAGAAATCCCAGCATATGTTCCTTACAAAAAAAAAAAAGAAGTGAACTGCCTGGGTCAGAAAATGGAACTGATGCTGAGAAGTCTCTACATCTGAAAATTATTAATTTGGCAATGCTGGGCCAGGCTTACACTGAGAGAAGCATCATGATTCCCCTAAAGGAGACATGCTCCCATCAGAGCCAAGACAGGCCTTATCCACCCTTTAAGACTGAAATTGTTGGAGAGACCAGCAAGGCAATGCTTAGTGTGTGTCCTTTTCGAGCATGCACTTTTCATTAAGTAACTTTTTTTAGACAAAGAACTTTTCACAGGAGGCTGAGARGATCTGCYTGATGAAATATTGGCTCTCCCAATTCATATTAGATCCTCAAGCATCATTCAACAGCTCTGAATTGACTAATGGCCATCACAGCAAATGGATTTCCACCTTAATCTTTAGTTCTTGTCTGAATGATATTAATACACATTGTTTATCACTAATGAGCTCTAGAATATGATGTTAACAGAAGCAATTAAGGCCCAGAATAACTGTCTGCAACACTGTGCTGGAGCTGAATGCACGGGTAATGAATCACTCCCACAGCTCAGTYCCACTTCCCTCACTGCAAATCRAACATCAGATCTTACTGAGCTCATCTCAGTGTCCAGGCTGTGMCTTTATTTTTAACTTGTGTGTGTGCAAGAGGTTGATTATATCAGAAAAAAAGAAGTTATGTCTTTTGAATACCCAGCCTTGTGGGGTTTATTTATTATTGAGTGATAGCAGCTACCTCGAAAGAGAAGTATCATATTTACACCACCTTTTCCTGGACATAGATCCAAACTTCTTTCCAGGTGTTTATGTTGAGGAGAACAAAGCTTGGTTCAAAGCACTGAGTGGCCAGGACTGCCAGACACTGCCTTCTTGTGCAGGTAATCACAAAGTGGTCAGGGGCTTTTTGGCCTGCTAAGGCAAGGGTATCTCTCTCAAAAGCCTTTGGTGAACAGCTGGGAAGCATTTATTTCCATGTCACTTGTGACCACAACGATTTGAAAACTAAGACTGAAGTCAAGAAGAAAGGCAAGGTATAATTCTACCCAGCAAATTTTTGTTTTGCACTGTTGCCCTATTCCAGCACAGGCTGAATGTACCTGTCTTTAGTGAACTAAATTAAACACGGAATCTTTGAGGGGTTTTGGAGCCAACCCAGTCCTGAAAAGGAAACAA